ACACCTGTTGTTACTAGTCTTATACAAATGGTGGTTTTTCAAACAAGAAAAAATCAAACCGCATTGCTCTCAGTACTTCTAGTTTAGAATTTAATGACAAACTCAGATTGCCAAAGCCCAAGAAAATACTATTCGAACTTTATGAACAGGCTTATCTATCCTTCAACATTTTGTCTGGAGAAATAACACGTAAATGAGATGGAATTGCAAGAAAAAGAGTAGGTTAGAGCAACCAGATTTTAGAAAAGAATCTGCAAAGGTACATTTTCTGCTACTGTTGCAACCAGTTAGAACGCATCATCTTTCAAAAAGCCATGCGGCCAGCAAGCCTGCTCTCAGATATCCTTCTGTCAATTGCTGCATCAATTGAGCTCATCTGAAAAGGTGCCCCAGCAACTTAATGTTAGTGCAGCCAAAAAAAACAGAAGTCGTGTAGTAATGGCAGTTATAATTAGAACTTCGTTCATAGTTCAAAGATACAAACTTTACAGAAGAAGCTGACCTGGAACACCGTATTCACGTCACTCAAAACCAAGCTTAACGATCAAGCATAAAATATTTCAAAACATTAGAAAAACAAAATTTCCGAAGATTTATTCTGAACCTTGTACCAGGCTATGAGGACTCCTGGAGTAGTTGCAGCGTTGCTTGTCAGAACTTAAATTACTAGTTAGCAAAGGGAAAACAAAAAGTACCTACTTGACTTGTACCTTTTGTCGACCATAAAATCAAGTGAGATTGCTTGCCCACCGGAGAATGACCAAGAAAGTAAAAATAGCCCACATTAAAGGGGTTCAAAAGTAGCAATATACATGATCAAATAGCAAGCCATACTATGTTTGTTTCTTCCTTTTTAACCAGAGAATTGAAGTATGCAAAGAAAAATCTCCAAACAAAGAGCAAACAAGCGAATGACAAAACTGGAGCAAGTAAAAGCCCAGCCCAGCCCACCGTGATATTTGGCATTTGAACCAAATATCCATGAAAAGCATATCATTACCACGTGATTCTGACTTACCTGGCTATTCTCATCATGCACCTGATACTTCAACAAGGACATTCTTCTTTCCTCCTGAAAGGGTTTTCAGAAAGTTTAAAAAAAGTTGGGGCCAAAAATAAAATAAAGAACCGGTGAGAAATATCATATAAGCGAGCAGAATAACTAACCATGGACAGAGCCTCATCATCCCACACCAAGTACACCTCATTAGTAGCAGGTTGAGTAGCAGGAACCTTGTTTGCAATTACTGGAGGTGGCCCGATAGAAGGGCCATCGGTATTTGGGCCGGAGGCATAAGAATGAGAACTCATAGGAGTAACGCCTCCTTAAAAAATAAAAAAGATAAAAATAAAGAACAAGAAAAAGCGAGAATCGAGATTCACTACTCAAGTTTCCAAAAATGTAATCATATGAATTCTAAAGATTAAGGAATTAAAGGTGAAATAATCACCACCATAGAATTGCATGAGTTCTCCTTCGTGTACCCAAATCATTCATTAAATTTGCGTCAGATGTAAAAGCAACGGCCTCACCATAATACACGAAACGAAGGTTGAGAAAGGAAGGCAAACCTGGAATTCCATACTGGTAGCTGTTAACAGACAAACTGCCTGCAAATTGAAGCTCGGAACTCTTCATTTCTGCAGAGGATCCACTAAGTACGCTCGTTGGCAACACAGAAGCAGAAAATGGCGAGCTTTGAGGAGGAATAATATTGTTAGGAACCACAGGAAATAAAGGCTGAGAAACTGGAACAGGAGGTGGTGCAGTCGCAGGCATCCCTGGAGGAGTGATTGTTGATGGTTGGATCAAAGTAGGCATTGCTGATGGAATAGGCAGATGTGCATTATGCACAGGAAACAGAGGCTGTTGAGGCAATCCCACTTGTGCAGGTGGTACCGAAAGAGCCAGATGTTGAGGATACAAGGGTAGTTGGCGAGGTGGAACTTGCCAACCCATTTGAGGCACAGGAAGCCTGGGATTATAACTGCACTCTAACAAGTCGAGTAAGATATATTTGGAATAAATACAGATTTTGTGTCGAGTGATTTTCTATTTCTCTTTTGTTCAAATATCGGTTGACAAAAGTTAATATCTAGAGGTTCATACAAGTACACTGAATCAGAAGCTAAAAGCATCAAACTTTATCGATGAGAACAAGGCAACTCCCAAACACCAAGTAATTCTACTTTTTATTGAAAGGCGAGAAAATTACAGCAATAGAACATGCATATCATCAATCAAAACTCGTAATCAGTAGCCAGCCAGATTCCCACTCAACTAGTAAAGCACATAAAAATCAGTCACACAACTTCCACCTCCAGTTAAATGTACCTCTGTGTTATAAATAGCATCATATAATTCAATTAAGTGCAGAAAACAAGAAACATACACATGGGGCATTGATCCCAAAGTTGGCTGAGGAGGAAACCCAACTGATCCAGGTATTGAACTACCAACAAGTTGGGCGGAAGGAATATCGACTTTAGCAGCTTTTGATGGAGTATCTTCTTCTGCAAAAGACCAATAACAGATAAGCCAGATGCCACATAAAAGGGCCAGGAAGCAAAACCCATTTGTTCAGTTTATACTATCATCCGAAGATCAATGATCAAAGACAACTGGATAAAAGTGTTGTAAAAAACATCCAAATTTCAACATGAAGACAACAGAAGTTTGTATTTAGATTAGTCTGACTATATTTGATTTTATGTTTCCAATTTAAAGTCTTTGGTTTCTGAAACAAACCAACATTTCACTAGTCAACTGGCATGAACCTAAGTGAGATAAGAATATCATTAGATCAATTTGTTGCTGTGGTTCAATCCGGGTTTATCTTTTTATTATTTTCTCTAACATCTCGTGTACGGTAACCAGCAACAATAATCACTCTGAATAACAAAAAGATATAAAATAGCAAGTAATAAGAAATTGCTCACGATTCAGTTTGCCATTCAACATCATATAACTATGAACTCCAAAATTAACAAAGCTGTACCTTGAAAATTTAGCGCATAAAATCTCAAATTTGACATGTTCTTCAATTTAATTATGACTTCCATGCCTAATTCCATAAAGGATAGATATAAAAATAAAATCTAAACCCCAATAATGAGCAAAGAATAAGGAACAATGCATAAAAAGGTACAATGCCTTCTTCTCCATAATGAGCAGCCAATGCATCGGGTGGAATCCCTTGCATTCCATAAATCTCAATCTCAGTCGATTCTCTTCCAGGTTTTGCATTTGGAACCCTGAGAAACAATACCAAATTGCACAGGAGTGAGATTCCACCGACATTGTCAATCACAACAGCACAACGAATAAAGACAAAACAGTCCAACTAAGAAACAAATTGTGCCCAAGCTATCCACGAATTTCATTTCAATAGACCTAGCCAACCCACCACATTATATATTTAAAGAAAAAAAAACGATATAAACTAATCAATCAAGACAGTAAAATTCTAAAAAAAAAAAAAAATGACATTACGATAAAAACTAAACATACTTGGTTTTGTTCAAGTGTAAAATGAAACAAATAACAATGTAAAAGAAAAATGGAAAGAAGGGTAAAGGGACGAACTTGGAGACTTGTTCCTTGTGGACCTGAAGGACATGGATGGCCATGCCGCCGGCGGTGGAGAGCTTCTTGTGGCAGACATGGCACTTGAAGTGCTTGGCCTTCTGATGCTGCACCAATATCTTCTCGTCTTCAAATTCCCGATCGCAGTAGTAGCACCACATCTTATCTACAGCTCCTCTCTTCTTCTTCTTCTTCCCCATTGGATTTTCTTGCCAAACTCAATCTACAAACTAAATATAACACAAACGTAAGATCTAAAAAGGAGAGACTTGCGAAAGGTCTTGGTTTTCGGAATACTGCAAATTACAGTTTCTGATCCAATTTGTCAATCGTACCGAAAAATTTGGGGGAGAGAGGATTAGGGTTTAATGGATTGAAAATCCCACCCCTACGCGTCGAAGAAGATGATTGAGCTGTAGCAAAATGGATACGTTTTACTTTTGTACTATTAATTTATTTATTAGTAATTATATTAAGGTTTAGGACGTTTGGGTAAATAACCACCAATTACAAGTAATTTCTATTGTCTTTCATAAAATTTAAGGCTTAAAAATGATATAAATATGTATTTTTGTAGAAAAAAATAAAAATAACAAACCTAACACTTCATACAAAAAATTGTGCATATAAAATGATAAAAGTTCATTATTTTTTAACTCAACTTTCCTCTTATCTGAACAAAATATATAACATAATTCACACTAGTTTAAACCTTCATTCGAGTTTTCCATTTATACACTAATAATACTGTATAATGGATGTTCATATTCATTAGTTTGTATATAGGTTAATTCAAAAAAGATGAGTGTTGCTGTGGCAAAATGGATACGTTTCACTTTTACTTTTGTTTTACTATTTATTTATTTATTAGTAATTATATTAAGATTTAGGACATTTTGGGTAACTAAACACCAATTAGAAGTAATTTATATTTTCTTTCATAAAAATTTAAGGTTTTGAAAATTATATAAATTTTAATTTTTTAAGAAATAAAAAAAATAATAATAAGACAAACCCAACGCTTAGACAATTTTATACAAAAATCTGTGCATGTAAAATGATAGAAGTTCATTATTTTTTAACTCAACTTTCCTCTTGTGTGAACAAACTATATAACATAATTCACACTAGTTTAAACCTTCATTCGAGTTGTTCATTTATACATTAATAATGGATGTTCATATTCCTTAGATTGTACAGGTTAATTCAAGAATCGTCCATGCTTAACAGAATGAAGCCAGAAAATGCAGTATGATAGAAGTCAAAGGACATAACTTCAAACAACACCACCAGATTATAACTATACCAAAGCCAAATGCTAAGAATGAACCTAAGAAAGGGGTAAAATTGCCAGTATAAAAATGAGGTGCAAAATCTGCAGCCACACGGGGAATCCATTGGAAAAAACACGACTATTAGTATTGTCTTGTTATGTTGTTGGCATGTTTTCTGGAAGAGTTGAAAGTGCATGTGAAACATTACGAGATATTCTGTCGTGTATGGGTTCCTGGAAAAAAAAAAAAAAAACAAAAGGTTAATACAGCATTCTTACAGCCGGTGATCGACCATTTCGCAACCTACAATATAGAAAAATCTGATTCCTACCTTTGTCAAAGGAATCTCAAACTTTGATTTAGTTATCGTCTCGTATAAGAGGATATATCTGCATGTAAAAACGAAATATAACGTGTAAGAAAACTTAGAATACAGAAACACAAAGCCATATAAAATTTGGCATACCTCCAAGCCAGTTCAGAAACAAGTTCTTCCGGTGCATCGGGCAATACCTAATATTAGCCTCAAGAGTTACACAAGTTCAACATACTTCAAATAAAACAAAATTGGACATTATCCTCTTTACGACAGTTACCTCATCCTCATACGGATTGCAATGATCTTTGAACCACAATCTCAAAAATTCCTAACAAATGTAGACATGAGAAAATTCATCAGAATGCAAACTGACAACATTAAAAGAGAAAATTTTTGTAATTGTAAGATAAGATAATGTATGTAGAGATTGGTGAAAGAAGATAGTACAAAGGCAAGAAAGAACCTTGTCAATATTTTCAGGTTCGAGACCATTTTGAAAGCGTTCCTCGTAAGAATGGGCGATCCAATACCTGCTGGAGTCAGGTGTATGCACCTAAAATTTTGACAAACAGAAGAAAAAAATAATAATAATAATTATCATACAACCATACAGTTATGCTAGGTGTCCCTTTATTCAGTTAATCCCATAAGAAAATAACCTCATCTATCAAAAGCACTGTGCCATCAGGTCCTTTTCCAAACTCATATTTAGTGTCCACCAATACAAGACCATTTTCCAATGCAGTACTCTGCTAAATACCAACCAACAAAATAAATATTCAAAGTTGAAGATGGAAAATAATATTATGAAACAGCTATTGAATGCAGAGACTAATAGAACTCGATAGGTTCAGAATTCAACAAAGACAACTGGTTCTGTATTATATTTCTTCCCACAATGCTACCATATAATCAATCGACTCAGGGTGCATAATAAAACTATCATACAACAATTTTGTATTACACTCACCTTTTGAATACACATCAATTATCATCAAGCTCATTGAATCATAACTTTATGCATGGTCGCAAGTACCTGACCAAACTCAAACAGGCTTAATGCAGCTTTACTTGCTTCATCATAATCAGCTTGAGTCATCAGCCCACTCTCAACAATCTACAAGGGAAAGTGATCACCAAATAGAAGGTCAGTGCTGCTTGCATACATAAATAAAATATCTCTCCCTATTTAATAACTTTTCGAAAAAAGAAAAAGAAAACTAAAAAAGTTAATGGGTTTAGAAACATATTCAAGTTACATAAATAAAATGAAGTCTATATCAACATAAACTTAATCTCAGCAACAGATAATAAAGTTAAAAGAGAAGAAGAAGAATTAAGGAATGCAAACCTCTTCTGGCGTAATGGGAACATCATGTTCTTCAGCTTTAGTAGTTGGTGTGAGTATATTTGCATGCAATTTTTGGTTCTTCACCATACCTAAAAAAGACACATGTGGATTCGTAAGCAAAATAGAATAACTGTGTAATTGGACTTCATACAGAGTTACGGACCTCACCATCAGGAAGAGCATTCCCACAATAGTTTCGAACACCTTTCTGGTAGACAGTCCAAAGTGATGTATCGGTACTTCCAGTCACATAACCCCTAACTACGGATAAGCATATCATCATTATTGTTTAGTTGAAGGACTATTCAAACAGAGTACATCAATAATCCCTAAAGGCATATACAATGCGCACTTCTAACGAAAATGAGTTATGTTGATTAGACCAAAAGGCTGATTACTATATGAAACTTAAAAAATACTGTTAGCTTTCCTAATGACTCACCAACAAATTCGACAGGAAATACAGAACATTTCTTTGCAATAGTAACATTCCTATCCGGAGAGGACACAACTGCATTTGGAATAATATGATGAGTTTTACTAAACCACCACAAACTTGTCTCATTGAGTACCTGAAAAGTAACAATGAATCATCAACAACGAGAAACGAAAATTAACTTTATTACTGAATCAAAGCTAAATGCATAGGCAAGATTTGGCTATACATAACCTGGCCCTTATAGGGAATTGAAGCAAGAACTCGGTCGAAAGCACTTTGCCTGTCGGTTGTTACCAGGACAAGATAGTTTCCTCCATCATAAATATCTCTCACCTACAAAATCAAATTGACTATCATATTTTCAAACACACAATTCAATTCTTTATGTAACTGTTAGCATTGATTGAATATTCATTTGGAACGAGTAGACACAATGAAACAGAACCGACCAGAAATGGGAAATCCTAGCATCTGAAAAAACATCATACAAAATATTAAAACTTTACAGCTATTGAAGTCTAATAAAGAAGAAAACACAATCATTACCCAAAGATAAACTTTTGATTAGAACAAAGAAAAAAAAAAAGAAAAGAAAAAACCAGACGAACTATAAACATACTAAACTGTCGTCCATCCAGTGTCAAAACCTCTGAATTTCCTTCCTTGAAAGTTTAATCTTTATCCCATAAATTCCAACAAAACAAAAGGAAACAAATACACTAAACTGTCTGTCATCCACTGCCAAAGCCTCTATACTTCCTTACATGAAAGTTGAAACTTTTATCGGATAAATTCCAACAAAACAAAGAGTAAATGAATAAAACCTTGAGCAAACTTTCTGAACTCGAAAATTAACAAGAAGCCAGGCTCTCAACCCAACTCACTACAACGAAAAACATCCCAAAAAAGTCCAATCACAAAATAAGAACACAACAAGAGGCAAACCTTGCCTCGAGCCTTTAATTGAAGACCTGGAACAGTTGAATCGAGATGGGTCTCGGAAAGACAGTTGGTAAGTGAACCTCCGATATAACTCATCAACTCACTCTTGCGCCCACTGTTAGTCAACACATCCGCAGAGAGAGGCGCTTTCGGGGGTTCGCCGGGCACTGCGGACGGCGACGATGACGCAGTTATTGTCATCGAATGAAATTTCTTGCCCGAATATTTTTTCGGGAAAAATTGTGTGCGAGAGCGTGGGACTTTGGTGGGGGAGTTGAGGCGGAAGAAGGGTTTTACGGTGAGATTTTTCGGAGGGTTTATGGGCACAGACTGTTGAGCCATTGTTATTATTTTCTCTGTTTCTTCGTCTTGTCTACCGGAAATGTTGTCGCCGTACAAAGGACAAGTTTTTCAAGTAACGGCGGCGTTGGTTTTAGTATGGGCTTGTTTGGGTTTTGGGCTCAGACGCTCAGTTACGTTACGGGAAAAATACATACACAAATCCTAGTGTAGAGATATTTACATAAATACAATTAATTAGTAGGAAACATAATCAAAATAGGATTAATTATTAATCTTTTTTTTCATTTATATGAGATTGTGATAATCATATGGTTCTCTCTCTCTTCATACATTGAAATTCATCTACAGAAGGCAAAAATCACGCAGAGAAAACGGTAAACACATTAAATAGAAAAATGATGGAAAAACATGGCGATCGTGATTTTGCGGCACAACTACGACCAAAAGACACATTAGAGAGGCTCGGCATCGATTTCCGTTGACGGCGAAGTGCAGCGAGGTCGACTGAACGTCGACTAGCGACGATAAAAAATCGACGGCTCCAAATCGAGGGCGGCGAACATGTCGACAATGCCTGTCAGGTCTCCGACGGTGAGAAGCTTTCTGTCGCCACGGAAGGAGGCAGATGCAACGGTGTCGGAAAAGTCAGAGATCGTGGATCTGTGGTCGAGGGTTTGGCCGGAGAAGATGGAGACTGTGGCGGAATGCACGGCGGCGAAGTCGTGGGGGGCGACTGGGGAGAAGGAGATGGAATTGATGGTGTAGACGAAGGATTTTGGTGGGGTTGTTTCGATGTATTTGGGGATTTTCGATGTTCTTGGTCTGCGAAAAGTAAAGAAGAATAATGAGGAAGGAAAAAGGAAGAGAGAGAGCATGGTTGATTACGGCGACACGACTCAAGAAACTCATAGGCGAGCGGTTCCGTCCTTGGGCTTGGGCTAATGGAGGCTGGCGGAGGCCGGTGGTCGCGCGACCTAGACCGGTGTATGTTCGGCTATTCTGTTTATGTACCGTTTATATACCGTTTATATGTATAAACTTGAGCGTGATGTCCAAATTTACCTGTGGATGTTCGGCTATTATGTTTATGTACCATTTATATATATTGTTGAAGTTTATAATCTTTCCTTAATGGTTGTTTACTTATTGCTTACTTTTATGTTGTTTATCTTATTATATATATATGTGTGTGTGTGTGTGTGTGTGTGTGTGTGTGTGTGTGTGTGTATACAATACACGGTATGTGTGCTTATCTATCCGGATATTTACTACACGATGTATTCTACATTAGTTAAACACGTATGTGTGCGTATGTCTCTATTTTGTGTTTACAACCCGGTATAATATACTTTAGGTATACACATTACTTATAGTATGTGTGTGAAAGTCTCTTAAAAACTTAAGATAAAATTACAATACCGTATGGAAAAAAATGGTCCGAAAAGTGCATTTTGATAGGTTAACCTCGTGCAAATCAAATATCCAAAAGCAATAGAACCAATATCCCTTCACTGAAGTTCACCAGAAAAAAGAGAAAAAAAGCAAAAAATGCAACAAAACATCATGTCAATAGTATCAACATGGTTCAACTCTCCATACACAAAAAGACAAACAGTACTCCTTCAAAAGGTAGGCATATGCTAACTAAATGATGTGAGCTTTGCACGTTGTATATCATCAAGCATCCCAGGGGAATCATCGTCGCTCTGAGTGCCGTTTTTGACGATCTCTTCAATCCAAGATTTTTCTTACTTTTTAACACCATGTTGGTATAACACGTATGAGTACCTCATCCTCTCCGTGTCGGGATCGTAGCCCGTCGGGAGATCAAACTTAATGATGAAGTATTCGGCAAATGAGGCGACAAATATTCCGCAATCACTGAAAAAAAAAATCCCGTCGACGCTTACGATTTTTGGGTTAAACTTTGGAATATCAGTGTCACTGTCGTCCTTTGGTGCATCCGAACCCATTTCACTCGAATGAGACTCTTCCTCCTCTTCAACATTGAAATCCGAATCGGGCTCTCCTCTTCTTCAACAATTTTTTATTCGACCTTGTTTCTTCGAACCCTTTTCTTGTAGGGGTCGTCTATGACCTTTTTCTCTTTGTGTTTGATTTTATGTTCAGAGATGAAATCGTCGTCGTCAGTTGGTGAGAGAAAAGTCTATTTTTTTTTGTCTTATGGTGAAGATACACGAGAGCTTAGGAGAGAGAAAAGCAAATTATTTTTCATGTTTTATGATTGCATATGGAAGGATGGGGATGATCATCATTACCGAGAATCATGCACAAAATTAATTTCCATTAATTGTCTATTGGATAGTTGTATTTCTTACTGAGAAACCGCCATATATTTTCTTTAATTAAATAATATTCGTACTTATAATAATAAGTTTGAGATTTCGTAATATTAATATTATTTAATAAAGGATTAGTAAAGAGGGTAAATTTCTCTGACGTAAAAGCCTAATACGAACGTGAGGAGCTGGAATTTATGGATCAAATTAGGGCTACTGCGGACTAGGAATTGGTTGGCAAAGTCCAAATTGAAGCAAATTTAGAAAATTACACTTTAGTTTACACCAACAAATTCATTTATTTTTGACATTACAAATATAGTAATTTCACATTTTTATTAACTAGCACGAGCCCGTGCGATGCACGGGACATAAGTATTAATGAGTTATTTCCACATAACTTGTCCGTTAAGTAGCTCGTGCGATTCACGGGAGATATTAAATGAGTGGACCATAGAGCTTGTCCGTTCAGGCCTAAAAAATAATAGAGTTTGATCATCTATCTTTTTACATCTTTTCATCAACGTTATTTTTTTTGTCGGAACATTAAACCTGAGTCTGGTAGAGCTAGCCCGTAAATTAATTAATATATTATCTCGCTCACATGTTTATAATAATATAAATTTGATTTCATTATATATATTTATTCATTGATATAAGAAAAATAACAATTTTACGTAATCTTATTCCTCGTATAATACTTATATTATTTCATTATAAAATTTATTGTAGTATAATGTCATTATTATTATAAGTTATAGATGTAATCTTCTTCTTCTTTTTGTTTTATGTAATTAAAATATTTAATGTATGTTCATATAATTTATTAATGTAATTAATTTAAATTATGTAAATAAATTTAAAGTAAAACATTTTACAAAATATACACAAATGTTTTTTTAGAATTTAATTTTTTTACAATAAATAACAGCTTTGAAATTCTATGCAATTATTAAAACCGATTAATTCTGCTTTATTAAAATCGATTAAATCTTTATTTATAGGCTTGACATTAAAACCGATTTTATGATATTTTTTTAACTAAACCGATGTTATGGAATAACACAAATCTGTATTACATTTGACTTTTCCAGCAAATGTAAAAAAATCGGTTCTGATTTTTATCTCATAACAAATCTTTAATGTCAAGCTATAAATACCGAAATAAATCTGTAATTAATGTCATTCTATTTCCAGCAAACATTAATTACCTTTGACTTTTCTTTATACTAAATCTGATAAACGGGATACCTTTTAATATAAGTATAGATTAGATGTGTAAAAATGACATAATTAATGAAAAGTGTGAAAAAGACATAATTAATGAGAAGTGTGAAAAGGACAAAAACTTATCAGTTTTGGAAAATATTTAATGCAAATTCTACCTTGACCATAATTTGACCTACTATTTTGGATAAATGTTAATTCTTATTATATAAGTATAGATGGTTGATTTATTTTTATGGGTGTTTAAATTACATTATTTTTTAATTTATGACTCGTTTATAAATAATTTACGTATGAATTCTTTCTAATATCACCTTTTTACAAAAGTTTTAATGTGTAGTTAATGTAAAAAGGGTCAAACTATTATGAGTAGTTATAATCCTTTTTTTTATTTGTTATAGATGTAAACAATCATGAGTTAGAGCCGAACGCGTGCTTCTCGAACGTAAGCTTAAGCTTGAATCTTTATTAAGTTGAGCGTGTAAACTAAACATGCTCAACCTCAGCTTGTCTATTAATATTAACGACAAATTGAGTTAAAGTTAAGAGTTCAAAGAATAACACAAAACTCTTATTCGTGTGATTGTTAGCTAACGAATCTAATTCAAATTATAACAAATTGAGTTAAAGTTAGAGTTCAAAAATAACGAAAAATTTTCAAATTATAACAAATTGAGTTAAAGTTAGAGTTCACAAATAACGAAAAACTCTTATTCGTGTGATTGTTAGCTAAAGGAGGTTGTGTTTTGCTTGTTTATAAACGGGTCGAACTAAACCCACAAGCAACTCCTTTGGTTTAACTCTTCTTATATTGTAGTTTGAATAAAATCAGTACTGGACTTACCGGTGGTAAACTTGGGCAGGTCACTGAGTTTAATCTTGGACTTTGAACAATTTGCAACTTAAAAAAGAAAAAGAAAACAAGAAAGTGATGGGAAGAGAGAGGACAGGGAAAGAAGAGCAGGACATGAGCAATAACTGCCTTGTCAGAAAAAATCACCCAACTTCCATAGTCTACTGCTACCTTCAATTGACTTAAAATTCATGCCTCTCCATTTATTAATGGCGAACATAATACCAAATACCTAATTGCTCAACACTCAAATCAGTTTCTCTAGTCTCTACGAGACCCTTTCATCTGAATACGAGCTCAATACGACACAAAATGCTGTCGGTTTACAAGTTTGTGTTTTCTTGAGCAGCGGTGCGGTTTGCATTTCCCCCTTCTTTAAATAATTAGGGACTTGGGGTTCGAGCAGAGGGTAAATCCTAATGGAACGAAAGCTGGTGATATGTGTGCAGGCTCTGATACTGCTGTTTTCTTGCCTTTTGCGTTCATTTGGGGCTTCCTACTCGGTGTGTCTTTTTCCAAGCTTCAATCTTTATGTAGAAAGTTGTATTTTTATGTTGATAGTACTGGTTTTCTTGGTGTTGATTGTCGAATCCTCATCAGTTATAAATGGTGGTTTGAATTTCTGATTTTTTTTTTATTTTTTTATTTTTATTTTTTCTAATAGGGGTTTAACAAATCGGTCGATGTTACCTTGACGGCACCTCATCTAAATCACACTCTGCGTAGAGGTTTGTATATGTTTCCTCCATTGTGTTTCTGGTTGTTGGAAGTTACAATGTCTCTATGAGTTCATTTTGCTAATAGCTTATTAGCTCAACAGCTTGTGATTTATATGATGCAAATTGTATTAGAAATGGCAAAATATGGAAATGATAAAGAAAAATATGTGTTTGCCTCAACTTAACTTATTGCCCTGCAAAAACCATCGGCAAAGGCTATTGTTCTCCACCTCTAAAAATATTTGTTACAATTTTCTGATTTTGAGAATCTCGATCAGTCAATATATTTGCATTCTGGCTTTGTTTGACGATATAATTTATTGTTGCTGATATCTTACAACCATGTGAAATTTCCTGTGTAATTACATTACAGCGTCATGCCCGTCTGGCTGGAGCAACAATCTGAACAACACATTGTGTTTTAAATACTTTGCTAGAAACGAATCATGGCAAGAATCCGAGAAGCAGTGCACATCTTATAATGGGCATCTGGCAGCAGTTAAATCATTGCAAGAGCTATCTCTTCTTGCAAAGCTGTGCAGTGAAAATTCTAACGGATGTTGGATTGGCGGCAGATTTCTCAACGGAAACTGGAAATGGTCAGACAATACATCTTGCTCAAATACATCTGTTTGTCTCACCATGCCAGTTCAGTCTGGCTGTACCAATATATCTTGCTCGAGCCGTAATATGACAGATGTCTGCACGTTAATGGTTAATGGGACTGGGGCCACATCTCTCGTAGCTCAAGAATGCAATATGCCGCATCCTTTTTTATGCATGCTTGATTTGGGTATGTTGTGTAAAATATAGTTCACCGAATCTTCTTTTAGTTATTTTCCTCTAATTTCCTTTCAAATTTTCAGGAAATAGATGTCAGGGTATGCACTGCCACAAGGAATATCTTATCATTCTTGCTGTAGTTAGCGGTCTGATCTTTTTCACCACTCTAGCTGTTGTGTTATGGCTTCTTATATACAAACGTAATAGAAGGCGTAGTAAAAGATCATCTCGCAAGCAGTCCAATATAGCAGCTGAGCTGGCATTAGTTCCTCCCTCGTGGAAAGTGTTTACACGTGAGGAGTTGAGGTCAATTACAAAGAATTTCAGTGAAGGAAATCGCCTTCTTGGTGATGCTAAAACCGGGGGCACGTACAGTGGACTTCTACAAGACGGTTCAAAGGTAGCGGTTAAAAGGTTGAAGAGATCCGGTTTTCAGAGGAAAAAGGAGTTCTATTCTGAGATAGGAAGGGTAGCAAGATTACATCATCCGAATTTGGTGGCTGTTAAAGGATGCTGTTATGATCATGGGGATCGTTACATTGTGTATGAGTTTATTGCGAATGGGCCTTTGGATCGATGGCTTCACCATGTTCCGAGAGGGGGAAGGACATTGGATTGGGCCATGAGAATGAAAGTCGCGACTAGTCTCGCTCAAGGAATCGCGTAAGTTGCTTCATTTTTTATTTTTTTTTTAAAATTTTGTTTCGTTTTCTAATTGTGGCTTTTTGACTCATCACAAACTTTAAAAGGGGTGTATTCATTTAGGACTTCTAAAGACTTTTTAAGACTTATGAAATCCTGATGTAGAGGTATTTATTTGAGATTTTAAAAAGTAAGGTATTTAACTTATTTGAGACCTTGATTTGTTAAGACTTTAAGATTTGCTAATTCAAAAGAAAGAATCTTATACGAAATCCCACTCAAAATCCCACCTTTTAGACTTAAGATTTCATAAGATTCCTCCAAAATCTGAAAATCTTATAAAGTCTCAAAATCTTAAGAATTCTGCATAACTAATTTGGTTTTCACTTTTTGGCTATGCTCCTAATCAAGAAATCATCCTCTATTTGTTAATTAAAAAAAAAAAAAAAAACAGGTTTCTGCATGATAAGGTAAAGCCACAAGTGGTCCACCGAGACATTCGCGCGACTAACGTGCTTCTGGACGAGGACTTTGGCGCGCATCTCATGGGAGTGGGCCTCTCCAAATTTGTCCCGTGGGAGGTGATGCACGAAAGGCGAGTTATGGCCGGCGGAACTCACGGCTATCTTGCTCCCGAATTCGTCTACAGAAATGAACTCACCACAAAGAGTGATGTCTACAGCTTCGGAGTCCTTCTGCTCGAGATTGTCAGCGGGCGTAGGCCTGCGCAGGCCGTGGACTCGATGGGCTGGCAGAGTATATTCGAGTGGGCCACTCCACTCGTGCAGGCCCATCGCTATGTGGAGCTATTGGATCCTCTGATATCGTCTTCCTCAACCTCTGTGATTCCGGAAGCTGGGACCATACAGAAAGTTGTCGATCTCGTTTACTCTTGCACGCAGCATGTGCCGTCCATGCGACCTAGGATGTCGCATGTTGTACACCAGCTACAGCAGCTGGTACAACCATCTTCCTCGAAATAAGCTCATATTGTTGTAATGATGTTATACTTACTACTAGGATTTGGTCACCATTTGTGATTTTTTTTCTTAAGATGGTTTAAATATATATTTGTGTGACTTTGAACAAGGATAATTTCGATAAACTAGTTTTGGTATATTTTTTACTAGAATATAACACAAACGCATTTCTGAATTCACTAAATTTACAATTTATTATTTCGGCGAAAAAATATTTACATTTTTTCATTTGTCGAAGAGTAGAAGGAACTTTTGGTCAGCAATCAACCATCGACTATCCATCACAGCTTTTAACGATCAGGGGTAGTAAACAGTTCACATAAGAGTCTCCAAAAACGCTAGGACTGCCATGCCGGCAGCCCAGACATCATCTTCTGCTACATGCTCAGCCGGAGAATGACTAACACCACCTTGACAACGCACGAATAACATTGCAATCTACGCAAAGGCCAATGTGTTTAAAAGTATACATGAGAAAAAAAAAAGTAGTGTCAGTCACAATGACTAAGATAAAGAAGACAATACCTTAGTTAAATGAGACATGGCCATTGCATCATGACCAGCTCCACTCATAAGTATAGGCACATTATCTTGATCTTCGCCACTTAACCGTTTTAGAGCACCAGATGCTGCGGACTTTAGCTTGGAGCTCAAATCAGGATCACAAGCCACCGCATTAGCATCATGCTGATTTTAATAAGAAGATTTTTGCATGAGCTGCAAACTATTTAATGGAAAAAAATATCGAAAAAGATTGGAGGGTAATTTTCACACCTTGCGTTCAATAAGGCACAAAACCGAACGCTTATCACATATTTGGTGCATTCTATTAGATAACTCGTAGATGATTGCTTCTCGTCCTAGATCATCCATAGCGCGTATGTCCACAGTGAAGGTCACCTGTATTATACTTGTCAAATTATTCGAGAAAAAATGGGCATTTTACTTTTCAAAGGAGTTTTTTCGAGTTACTGATTGCTCACCTGCCCAGGAATTACGTTACTTGCACTTGGCCAAGTCGATATTTCGCCAACAGTGCAAACGAGAGATCCAGCGAGAGATTGTACTTCAGATGCTGTGCAGTGACCATCGTAAAATATATAGTCCTCAGGTTTTCTACACATACTTTCAAGCAGTACTATCAGTTCAGCAGATGCTGCCATAGGATCCTGGCGCATTTTCATGGGGACTGTGCCTGCATGCCCTTGTGAACCTTTCACCGTCACCTGCGAAATTCAAGAATCTCGTCTCAAGTCAGATCCAAGAGAATTAATATAGGAGATTTCGGGAAAAAAAAAGTTCAATAATTTATATATTGAACTTTGTATATGAAAAGGCTAATAATTTACCTTCAGTCGAGTCTGCCCTGCAATGCCTTTTACCAGACCAAGTGGAAGGCCGGCTGTTTCAAGCACAGGCCCTTGTTCAATATGAAGCTGTGATGCATAGACACCAAGAGAGAAGAAGAGAGAGAGATTAGGATTCAAGAGATCTTTTCTTTAGCAAATACCATTTAGTCTTTTAACAAATGTCAATCTTAAAATTAAAGCATACCTCAATGTAACCCCAGACAGATTCTGAGTTATATTTGAGCTGCAAAAGTTTATCTTCTGTAATTTCGATAGAGTTCTTTCTTAAAGCGCCTTGCACTGTGACACCACTGGAAATATCAAATCTGTTAAAAGTCAGATCACATTTTGAACTCAGCTTCGACAGTTAGTTATGTAAACCTCTTATCGTGAACATGCAATGTCGAAACAGGCAATACACCAGCAATTGCTGCACTTCCTAAGAAGGTCGATTGAAATCTAACTCCCTCCTCATCACTAAAAGCAATAACCTGAAAAAAAATTATTAATGGCCAGAACAATCAAGAATTCAAGACTTGTCACTAAAGACATTTTCTCAACCATTTCGATCCATTCTTCCTGCCTTTTTCAGCAAACTTTTATTTGACTAGGAACACGTTTCTAGTAGAGCAGGGCCAAAAAATATTCTCAATGTACGGTTAAAAAAAAAAAAATTCCATCTAAAATGCAATTAACGTTGGAGCTTTTGTAAATTTCGCTACCTCCACTGGTCGCTCAAGTTTCCCAAGCGTCCCTTTCATATGCAACACTTTCAAAGCAGACAGTGCACTAATAATCCCGAGAGCTCCATCAAACATTCCAGCATCAATAACAGTATCCTACACAAGACATTCACCATAAGTATTTTTTCACAGTTTATTGGAGTCAGCTTTTACAGGAACTATAAAAATTACAGCAAAAAATTGGAGAACATGGGCTTTACCAAGTGAGAGCCAATTAACAGAGCTTTTTCATTTGGATTTAGTCCTTCATGCCGTCCATGCACATTTCCCATTTGGTCTACCCACCTACAAAAAGGATACATAATATGGCCATTTTGTATTTTGAATGTGGTATGGCAGAATTAGTAACTTTTGACAGCTTACGTTAGTAAACCTGCATCTTCCATCCACCTCCGAATAAGGTTACCTGCTCTCACAGAAGCAGGTGACTGGAAAGTTCTCATAAGAAAATCTGCTGAATCACTCACCTGTATCAGTAAAGACAAATTAGCTTGAAATCAACTAGATCTTTTGTGGTTGTACTCAGGATTCTAGTATTAAGGAAAATGTGCCACATAACATTTTTACTGATCAAGTTAACTTATTGTGAGACTAGGAGAGTATATATTCATTTGCTTGTTTATAGAAGTGAAGTTCAACTGGTACCTTCCCGAGTTCTGCAAGTCTTGCCACTGCCTCATCCTTCAATATTTCTGGATGCAAGAAGTCTTTATCCTCTGCATGTTCAACACATGATTAGTTAACAGAGTACATTAGCTTTTTTTACAGATCCAAAAAACTGCAACTTCTCGGCCATGACAAAATTCAATATTTAAATTTACACTATCTATCATATGTAACCTAATAGCAGCCAATTTAGGCTTTTCGAAAAACCATGCTCTTCCCATCAACTGGACTGCCAGTACCATATATGTAGTAGTTAGAAGGTTGACGAGATATTGAACAATCCAAATGATTTTCGACTCAGATAGCCCCCACACATTCAAACACAATGTAACAATAAAAAATTGTGATCTCTTCAAGCTCGTGACGACGACATTCGAAACTAGTACCAACAATAATAAGGAAGGGAAGAAAAAATATATTCGGGGCCAAATGAAGCCAATCACCCTGAAAACCCCACAGAAAGACATAAATATCTCCAAGATTCAATTTTTATCACGGATTAAACCCAGAAAAATATACCTTCGGGTGCGAATCTCATGAAAATGATATATACATATAACCCAAAAGGCAAAACAACAAGACTTTATTCCGAGTGATTTAACAGAGCAATCTCAAGAAACAAAATTTGCTCGCTTCTTGATAAAAAGGTCAAAGAAAAGGCATCATCTTTCATCTGCCTCACGAGAAAGAAGCACGAGAAATTACCAGAAAACCCGTTTATGGAGGCCAATACAAGTGGGACTACGAACAAGAAAGATAAGACGCGCGCGTCGATGATGCTGATATGGGGCAGTGTTTTGCATTGCCGGGATGCCATTGATTTGGCTGCCAAGCTTCGTTGGATGTTAAATAAGGGAAGAGCAGCAAAATTGTCCACGGAAAATGGAGACTATCGTGAGTACTCCTTGTGAGGTCAGCAATTTGGGTGGCTGGCGATACTGTGCGACTGTATGGCAGCTATGGCTACTGTTGGGCCCACGGTATCCCTTCCCGGCCCCAAGTTGCAGGTGCAAGTGCAACACTTGTTTTCAAACTCTTTTTACCTTAAATAAACTCTTCAATCATGTTACCTTTTAAAACTAGTATTCCTCATGCACAAAGACAAGTATAAATTTATATATTTTATGTATATGTACAATATTTATAATTTTAAATTAGATAATAGATGTATTATATTTTAATTTTTTTACTACATACAGATATACAATATAAATATAAATTATTTAACTTGCGTGTGAATCTTTATATTGATGACATGAATTTTAATGGACAATGTAATTTTATAATTTAGAAGGACCACACAATTAATTAGTTAGAAAAACATTACAATTATTTTTATTATTGTTATAATAATTATTTATGTTATTTTAAGAAGTTTAATTATGACACTCATGTCAATTAACTAATATTAGAGAAAAATCGTTTGATAAAACTAAAAAATAATATTTATTGTAGAATAAGTATCTTAAAGAAAAAAAATTGCAATGCAATTTTTTATAAGTATGTAAATTTCACATACTATTTAATGTAAATTTATAATTAGTTAGTATTAGTAATAATTATTACATAATAAATTAATTTAAATTATTATTACATTTTATTAATGAATAATGAAATTGTTCCATGACACGCGTCGTATTTACGTGCATTTTATAGTGATTTTCGTGTCCGTTTAGTCGTAGTTTGATATTTAATTAGTTATTATTTAATTAATTATTATATAATTAATTATGTAGTTAATTAATTTTATTAAGCTATGATGAGTTGTTTTATTTGAGTTTTGACAGGAAATAGGGTCGATATAATTTTAGAGTCGAAAATGGCGTGAAACGGATATAAAGGGAGTGCGAATCATGAATTTAGACGAGCCCAGTTACACAGCCCACAAGAAGTATGTAGCAGCACCATTTTATTTGCACATATGGGCCATCAAACTAACCCATTAAGGCTTATAAATTCAGCCCAACTCAATAATGCAAGTAATGGCAAATTGGTAATTCTGAGGCAAAATTGAAAAGTTCTCATCTTCTTCACAGCACATCCGTCCGCCATTGTTGAGCTTTGAAGTGCTCGACCAAGCTGCCAACTCGCCACCACGCCACTACCAGACGCCGGGGACCATTTTTAAGACCTCATCAGCCATCCTTATCGACGGAGAAGAAGACTGAACGTCAAAGGCGCGTCGGAGAAAGGTGTTTCTGGAGCTCGGATGGCCGGAATTTCACGAATGGGAGCACCACGACACACCACCTGGATCCTACCTTGACGACCAAGAGTGTTCCTGAACGACCTGTGAAGCCGTAGAGAACACCAAGAGCCGAAAATCAGCCCCGAAAACGAGTTTTGGACGCCCAGGTTCACACGGGTCGTGTGAGCCCGAGACACGGCTTTTCCACACGACTCGTGTGTCTTATGACACGAGTCGTGTGACCCTGGACGCAACAGAATCGGCTTTTACGCGTTTTTCCTATTTTGACGAGTTTTTCGACCTATTTCGACTAGGACTCGACCTTAACTATATATACAACCCTTTGGACACGTTTTTGAGGAGTCTGGGACATATTTCCAGATCTTGTGAGACCTTTGGAGGAGAGAAACACGAGCAAGACGAGGGAGAAAGCCGGGAAGAAAGGATCGACGGAGCCGAATAAACTTTTTCTTTATTTTTCTCTTTTCCTCTTTCGAACTCAATGTTTTATATCTATTTTTCTGATTTTGAAAACATGTTTCTAGGCTAGATTTATCTTAGATTCTAGGATTTGTTAGTACTCGGATTGATTTATGATTTAGTTTTTATTTATTTCATTCCGATTTATCTTTCGTTTATAAATTTCTTTTGCTTATTATTATTGTGTGAGTAGATGACCACTATGAATGCATATTTGTGATCGATTTGAGACCGAGAGGAGATAATTGATTGCTAGAATTGGGAGATTTATAACGTAAGAGAATAAACAGACCGAGAGGTTGATAGGACCTTGCGAGAGAAGGAAAATCCTAGGAACTTATGGGAGTTAGTTGTTCATCTTGAGACCGAGAGGAGATAGATAACAATTAATATCTACGATTTGACTTGTTCGAGAGAAAGGTTTGAAATCAATTTAGCGATTATCTCTACAATTGGTAAAATTAAATAAGGTTTGTTTGAATATAAACGTTTCATGAATTAATTCCGAGGAACGCTTAGCCTAGAATCTACCTTTTGTATCTTATTTATTTTTATTTGTTTAGATAAATTAGTTTTTAGTTTAATTCTTAGTTTAGAATCATCATTCAATTCACTAGTCTAGATAATATTTAATCGTCGTTATTTTAGTATTTAATTAATTTAACTACAATCTCTGTGGAATACGACCTTGCTCGCCACTACCTATAGTTACTCCGTACACTTGCGGATAGCGAAAATAATTAGCGAAAATTCCACATTAATTAAAAAAAAGAACGGGAAACCTATAGAGATTTTATTTATTGCTCTGTCAGCAATTATATAAATATATAGATTTTGTTACAAATAAACTTTAAATGACTTAAGACTTTTTAAAAGTTTTATGTAACTGATATTTTTGGAATCTTATATCTAGGAGGTGAAATGTGGTGTGAATTTTTAGACATGCATTTTGTATTTGAAATCTCAATAAGTGTTAAGAATTTAAGATATATTCAAATGATAAATACCTCAAAACTTTTAAAAGTATTAAAAAATTAAAATTAAATACAACATGATTTTTAAAATCTCAAAGTTTTTAATTTAAAGGAAAAGTATACTTGTTTAGCCTAAGACTCCCATATAAAGAAATTAATAGCATCTTATTTGTGAACAGTAACAAATATGTGGTGATTTAAGTATATTTGATTTTAATTGATTCAGTAGAAATGGTATTAATTGATTCAAATTCATAAAAAGAGGAGAGTGATGGGCTGGTGGGGATTGGCTCTGGCCCGCTGCATGGCCCAATAAGGACAGTGATGGGTTGATGGGGATAGACTTTGGTCCGCCGCCGGGCCCAACATGCAAATTCTTGTAGTTTTCTCTTATATATTATTAATTTAATTTATTTAATAGTATGGGAATCATTGTCAGCCCACCTCAATTTAAGGGAAAATTTTATATATCCTACACGATTTGCAAATAATTGCAGATTTACTAGTGGCCAACATTTTATTGCAGTTAAAATATTTATGGCATAAATTTTACATATATACCTAACAAATCAGTTACTAATTAAAGAATAATTGATGCCCTTAATACACGCTAATTATACCATCTTAAGAGAGAGAAGATGATCAGATTTGCCGATATTTTTGACTACAAATTAGTCCAACTCATCTTTTCGTTTGATCTAGAGCATTTGTCGGGTTGAAGGCTTTCTCAGGGCTACTACTTGAAGAGAATTAGTGGACTACAACTTTTCTTGGCTTTGACATGTTATGAGTTGATATGGAATATATATATATATATATATATATATATATANAAACGATTGAAAATCGAGTTTATAATTAAAGTATATTTTATGTATATGTGTGTCCCAATCTGTGGCCGACTTGAATTACGAGAATCTCGAGTGTATATTTCATGTATATTTTATGTATATGTGTGTTGTACAACTTTGGTATATACTGTATATACCCACAACATATACCCGCAACATGTAAATTTTCATATATGATGGTAACATATAAATCATGTATAGAATTTTCATACCTGAAATATATAATTTTTCATACCCCGAAAAATATACTGGAAATATACTGTATATACCCGCAACATGTACAAAAATACAACTAACTATCAACGTCTCAAGCACAGAAAATGCGCAAAGAAATTCCGCAAACAAAATCACAGATCCAAACACCAATCAACCAAACAGAAACCAATGTCTCACGATTTCTTATCGAGTAACCACGTCGGCATCGATTCGAATGCCTTCCGCTCCAACGCCTCCGCCCCTGCGGGGTATTTCGTCGGGGGGTTCGAAGATCAATCTCAATTTCAATTTCAAGTCCGACAAGCCGATCGTGGCGTGGATCGACTACGATTCCGACATGAATCTCGCCAACATCACCATCACGCCGTCAACAGAACCCCTAACCCCTCTCCTCTCCTACAAAATAGATTTGTCTCCGATTCTACACGAAACTATGTTTGTCGGATTTTTCGCCTCCACAGCCCTGTTCGCAAGCTCCCATTTCATGCTTGGATGTAGCTTCACAACGATCGGAGAAGCTCTGCCGTTGGATTTACGTTCCCTGCCTTCAATCCCATGGACCAAAAATTAAACACACAAACCTAACCATTGGTTAGGATTCACTGTCTCTGCTTTTCTCTTCTTACTCTAATTTCAATTTCACTGTTACTCATTTTCTTGGCCATTGAAGAGTCAATTGGGGGAAAGGATAGAGAAGTTTTGCAGAGAGAGAGAGAGAAGATAACATGGGTTGTGGATGGTTTTGGAGTGAGAGAAGGAAACTTTTTGTCTCATGGTGAGTATATATTTAACTCAATTAAGGATCTCATTTGTATTTAATATTCCTACAAATAAGGTAATAACGATTCCTTCTCAATCCAAGTAAAATTGAAATATTTTTTCCATGGTTAGGCAATTTTACAAATAAGAATATAAGGGGCATATAAGTGTAATAAAAATCATAGTTGGTTGTAAGGGGTGCAAATTCCTCTTTAATTTAATCTAATGGCATGATTAGTTTAACATTGTGATGCTAATGCAGCCCAACTCATCCCATATTCTCTGCTTCTGTTCTAATATAATAAAATTATTTGAAAATAAAAACAAGACAAAAGAGTCGGAACCAAAATATAATGAACATCACACAAATACAAATTTAACTTGTTGTAGTAAGATAATTTATTTGGAATAAATTCCAACCTCAGGCTTAATCTCACAAAAAAGAAAGAAGAAATTACATATCATTCTTTATAAAATGTTAAATGACTAAAAGGTATCCAATATCCATTCATGTCTTTTCCAATTGGTCATTAAAATGAAAAAATAAAAACAAAAAATGACACATAGTTAAATAATTTGTTCACATAATCATATAATCCCCAAAGGATGATTAATATAGCAATTTTTTTTTATAAATATAATTTTGACAACTTTGTCACATTCAATTTAATAAAAAAAACATTGATTTCTCAAAATTTCGGCATACATATTTTTTGTTTTCCCTCACAAGTAGCGACTGTTTGTGATGCATGCAGATGCAGTTTATTGTCCGATCCTGGTCACTTGTTCCTATTTCACTTTAGAATTCGTGGGTCTCTGTTTCTTCATGACCATCAATATAACATATTAACATGCCATCAGATAATGCGACAATACTCATCAGGTGATTGAAATTATTTATTTTCTAATAGAACTAAATTATTCACCACTAATTAATTGCACTTTTTCTCAACCAATGTAGTTTATATTATTCAAATATTCTGCTTTTGCTTT